CGTTATATCCTGCCGTAGCATAAAGCTTGCGAACGATGCTTGCAGATCCGTACGTGCTTTCTACTGCGGCGACAAACGACTGAGTATATCAGTATAAATGAAAGATCGTTTTCCAGCTACTGAGTAATACGGCCGCTTATAGCAAAATTACGAGGAGTGTCATTCTTGAGCGGCGGGTGAACGACAAAATGGGAATTTTATCTGCCATTTAGTGAATGTGCATGCTCGCATCGGACGCGAGCTTAGATTAGCAGGAAAGGCGAAGGAAAGGCCTTTCTGAGAGAACGCCTGGCGTTAAAGGTAAGAGACCGGGAAACACTTCTGGAAACACTTGCGCATGCCCGCGTGCGTGCATATTGCGGAGAAAATAGCTTAGTTTCGCCATGGGAGCGAAATTAGATTTCGTTCGAGAAGACGTTCCGAATGTTCGCTCTCTAACCTTCTTTTCTTTTATCTGTCCTATGCCACCTCTTTCCTACCCACCAATCATCCGAACTCACCACCCACTCGACCTTCATTCTTCCCTGACTCCTTCTTCATTCTGAACCGCCTTGTTCTTCCTCTGCCAGGTTTCCCGACTCTTTCTTCTTCCCGCGCTGAGATTCCGCTTTCCCCGGAGACGCTCGACGACGTCGCGACGCTTCCCCACGTTTCGCGGTGCTATGCATATTTCACCGATTTTTATGGAATTCCTCGTAGACTTCTTTTCGCCTCCCGCGCTTCCTTTTCCCTCTTTCTCTCTTTCGATCACAAACGTATTTCATTTTGTTTTTCAGTCGTTTACCCGTTCCTTTCTCGCTTCTGTCTTTGCTTTCCTCTACACTCTTATTGCTCTATTTTGCACCTATAAGAACTTCTTTAGTAATCATCCCACTTTTTAGATGTAGTTTGCTATATATCTTACCAATGTCACAATCTTGCCTGAGATATCGTATTAGATTAGAAAGAGTTCAGATAAAAATGTCCTATTATTATACATTTGATAAACGAATAAAATATTTATTTAAAAAATTATTATCTTCACTTGCAGAAATCTGTATATATAATTTTGCAACAAGGAAAATTTGCAATTTTTATATTTTTTATATTTGAATTGATAATTTATTTTATGACATTTAATAACCTGTTTTGATTAATAATAAATCTTACAGTTAAATGTTAAATGCATATAAAACGCGTTTATCTATTACTACGCATTACTAATATGTCGCAGTAATCATATATAAGGTTACTATTTTATGAAAGTATGAAAGAACCTGATTGCATATGTTTCCACTTAACAAGTCTTCGACATTTCAATACAAGTGATGTAGGCGTAGATCGTTACCTTTTAAGCAGTGCTACGTGGAATACGTAATCATCCTTGTGCACTCTCACGCACGAAGGCTAATATGTCAATAAATTGATTACATGAGCGAAACTGCATGTCACTAATTCAAGTAACCAAATTAGGAGCTGTGTATGTAGTATGGAACAATGTTATTTGTCATATCTATAAATATCCATTATCTTTTGCAATCACAAGCAATCACGGATGTGTCAGTTAGTATTTAATTAATGTCTTAAATAATCATATAGAGATTATATATATAAGCATAACACATACAAATTATATTTTATATATTTATTCTTATATGCAAAGTGTTATAAACATAAGGAAATTGTTATAAAAAATTGTGCTCTCCATTTGACTTGCTATACTTTCTCTTTCACTGTTCTTTCTTTCAAATGTTCATTTCTGATTTCTGATATAAATAATATTCCGATATTATAACTTTACTCTAGAAATGTAATTGGCGTAAAGAAATATAATAAAGACAAAAATTAACATTACATTTGGTAATTAAATATAAAATCCATTATGTGAATACTTTCACTAAAAACATATTAATATAGATAATGAAAGTACTAATTAAGATTTAATATGATGATATCATTAATATATGATACGTTTTCTTTTCTTCATTTTATAAAGTGGGGTACTAAGCGTCTTTTTATGATACTTTCTTTTCCTTACGCCAATGAAATTTCTTGTGGAAAAAGGTCAAATCACTTGTAGGAGATCGTCGAAATTCTTTCGATACACATCGCCTGTCACCTTTCTCCGTTCACTATGCTCTCCTTCCGTCAAATACAAAATACAATACACATAAATATGACAATCGCATTCTATATCATCTTTTTCATACTTAACGATTATTTTTTCAATAAATCGAATATTTATACAATAGTTAGCTATTTTAATATAAATAAAACATATACAACATACATAATCAAAATAAGTTGAATAGAACATTGACAATAATTTTAAAAAAATAATAATATATAAAGTATTTCATTGTTATCTTTTATTTTATCCATGGATTGTATAATATTAATTTAAAATAATATTTTTTATTAAAACTTAAAAATTTTGCTTTAAATCGTTTGAGTTATCACAACCATACTACTCATTTTTATATATCAAAGAGGCATCAATAAATGCCAACTATGCTTTGTTTTAAGTTATTAATATTGAATAAAAAATTATGGCATTTATTATAATACATTTTGACATAAAGAAGTGCAAATGCTCTTTTTGATATTGTTTACATAGATTTTTACAGTCATTTTTAGTAAATGGTTAAATTTAAATTCAAAAATACCTAAGAAAATAATTTAAAAGATAATATTATAAAAAGATAACTTTTTTTATATGATTATATTAAAGCTATAAAAAATATATGATGTTATATGATAATTCTTTTAATTTATTTAAAAATAAATAAAATAATTTCTTAAGCTATAACAAAATAATATTAATTATACTATTATTTGTGGATACTAGTATTTCTTTACTTTTATCACTTATACATGCAAAAAAGATGATCTAGAAATCTACTTTGTCGTGATATGAGTACGGAAGAAAAAATATAAAGTATGAGAACGTCCCTAATCGGATGATTGTAATTACATGCTACGCGTATTGTTTTAAATCTCGACTACACGAGACGAAATCACAAAAGATAAACGAACAAACGCAACCGTGTCTTCCGATTTGACATGGAAAAAATTTTCAACATCACCCAAAGAGAATTATTTTAATTAGGCCAAGCCGGCAAGAAGTTGAAGGAAAAACATCTTTACAACATCTGATCGATTTAAATGTCATTATTTTTCAAACATTTCCTAAAATCTCTCGAAAAAAAGTTCTCTTTTTTAGAGATCTCGCTTTCAGCAACTATTTGCTATTCACAGGAAAGACAATTTTGCCTTGGGCGATGAGGCTACGCCGAGCATACCAGCAACGATACATCCGAAACTCCGCCTGTCGGCTTGCCTTATATTCCGTATATATCGTCCATGAGGCAACAACGTGCCTCCTGAGATCAGTATGACTGTCGGTGTGTACGGATACGACGTTAGTATGGAAATAAAGCACTTCCGAGCTCCGCGAAAAATGCATACGTTCCCGCTGGCTAACCCTTGAAACCTTCCTTCGAGATCCCTTCCAATCCCTCCTCGTCACCAGCTCGTTTCGAAAAACCGGCAACTCCATGCGATACGGCGTGCGATTAAAACTACACGAGAAGGAAGTCGTTACGCGCCTTCGAGATCGTCTAAGAGCTGATAAAATTCACTTCGTCTTTGTAGGCATCAACTATTTTCATAGCAAGCTCTGTAATGTCTTATGCAGGTTTGATGAATTTTAACGAGTTCCGGAAATTATCCTCGCCCGCCAAATATATTCATTTTTTTTAAATATCTGCTGTGTAATCTATTTAATATGAAACAAGATAATTTTATTATAATTGTGATATTGTCTTTTTCAATTTTTTAACAGATATGATCGAATATTTTTTTTAAATATTTTAAGAATTCGACAATCTTATCTTAAGTAATAATTTATATAATTATCTTATTTTTTATAATTTAGAAAAATTTAGAAAAATATATTTAATATTCTTTAAATTGACGTAAGCTTTTAAAAAATACTGTACATATTTATATTAAAATAAATTATAATTATATATATCTTGTTTCATATTAATATATTATTTAAAAATAATTGATTATTGTTTTTAAATAATAAATGTATGTAGTTCCTATTGTGATCAGTATAATCAAAATTTATAATATTTGTGTTTCTTATAAAAAAATTTAATTAATGTTGATGTAATGATTTTAAGCTAATTATGAATTTTGTACATTTAGAAAAGTCAACAAAGTATTAAAAATACGTTTAGCGTATTGTCAATTAGTTAGTTTATTTTATGTGACCCACTGATTTAACACGAATAAGTTTGTCTTTATAGCGGAAAACGTGTGAATATTCTCATAGCTTTAGTTTCAGATCGCACAGGAAGTTTCATGATCGTATTGTCTGGTACAACACGAAGCAGTAAGTAGAGAAAAAGAGAAGAAACATACGTACACGAAACAACGTAGATAATGCGGAAAGAAGACAACCGATGGCGAATGGATTCGCGCTCATGGAAAATCTGCAAGTAACAATTTTAGCACGAGAAACTGGGTGCTAACCATTTTATCCAAAGACGAAGCGATAGTGTTTCATTTACATAACCGTAATTCTACTTAGTGGCGGATACCTAATTCCCTCATACGTTTCCGTTTCTCCGCCGTGCCAGAATTCGCGGTATTTAGGCGACCGCCGATTTAGCTGAGTACTTTCTCGAGACAAACACTTTCAGATGTGCAAACTTGTAATCCACATTACGGCGGGCCAATCTCTGCAAATGGACTCGAAAACAACGTGTTTCTGTAATATCCTACGCTGTTAATGTCAATATTTACGACTGATCTTAGTGCAGTGCATTATTACAAAGAGAGAATATTTACGTAACGCCAATGATATAAAATCATAGAGAAAAAAAAATAATGTATAACATGTTTGTATTGCGATTATAATTTTTATTGTAATTCACTTATATTATTTAATGATATTATAGAATAAAGTAATACAGAATAAAAGTAAAGGAAAAAGTGGAAATAAAATCAAGTTCTATTTACAAAGTATTCGTATATTTACATGAGGAGCATATGAGAGTACAAGCTAATAAGATCGTTATATCCGGCGAGTGATCATATTGATTGCTCATCGGATATAAGATAAGACTTCATATATATATATATATATATATATAATAAATAATAAATTAAAACTCTAAAAAAAAAAGGTGGATATGGGTTAGGAGCAAATGGACGCGTTTTATGGCTTGGCAGTATCGTCACTGCGTACTTTGTAACAATGAGCGTCTCTTAAAACTATACGCTCTACTTATTTTACGTATCTGCAATACACCAAGTTATGCATAACCGTTTTGCAGGCGAAAGGGCATAAAAATATAAGAACTTCAAGATTATGCCACACTCGGGGCTTTAACGGTGCGCTTTCACGATACGCGTTCATTTTCATCTTACGCGTAAAACTGCAAATCCTCGCGTCGCGTAAAAGTCGTTAATACGCGAGTGGCGGAAGGAAATAACGTATATCGCTCGCGTTTCCTCATGCCCGATAGTAATCGACGTTTCGAAGTTGTTCCACTGTTTCCGCTGTGTGCAGCCGTAAGTACGCGTACGGAATGTATGTGTATTTTTTCGCACGCACCTAACACCGAATTAGACGGTGTAAAGTCCGCACATCCATCGATTATCGCCACAAAGGCATGCAAAACCAAGCGTGGCGCACTTGCACGCCCGCAGAGACGAGCAATGCGTTTCACTCGGAACGAGATTCTCATAGGAATCGCTATTCTGCCGGGTCGTTAAACGAGGTTTTGAACTTTCACCTCGAAGGCTGAAACCGCGAAAGATACGAAGTCGTCAATCAGTTTCTACCAACCGGCAAACGACCAAGCGGCTTTTCGCGGGTACACCGTATCGCTAGATTACGCGAGAGCGGTGCCGTAACCTATTGACCTACATACGTATTAATAAATGTCGCTTAAATTCTCGTACCAAACTTAACATTTTTTCATGCATTGTGCGAGAGCAACGAATGCCAGACATACCACATATCTTTCGAATCGAATCGAAGATAGTGGCATCAGTTATCAATAATCCGACAAAAATCTCGTTCAATATTAAATAATTCCCCGATACCTCGTTCTCGAAAAAACTATCGAGCCAACGTGATTTCCATGAACGAGGATAAGATAAGCCGCTGACGCGAGGACACGAAAAAGTCGGAGTATTCTGAATCCTTGGTCGGATCTTGGCAAACGTTTGACCTGATAAAAAGGATCAGCACTCATGGACGTGAAATCTTTTCACACGATAAAAATGCCGTTGATACTCGGCATTTCTTCGTACAATTTCTACTGTAATCTTGGTAAGAGGCGAGAATCCTTGAACAATTCGTCTGTAATAAGACGTTATCGATACACTGACCAACGAGTAATTATTACTTTCGCTTGCTTACTGAGGAAATAAGAGAAAAAGGATTACATAAACTTTCGTTTCGTGTTTGCGCATTTCATGCCTTCTAATTCCAGTTTCCAATTAATTAAATATTTCGAATCTTTTTTCTCTATCAAAAATTATACAATCTCATGTCTTTGCTTGAACGATTTTTAGAAAATAATGTAAAAAGATAAATCGGTAAAAAGTTTCAACATTGAGTTGCGGAACATCAATTCATCTTGAATTTATCGCAATTCTATTTTGAAATAAAAATTTCTTAACACGTATGTAAAGAGATATATAAAGAAATAATTGTTTTGCACGCGGTTATACATTTGAAAGGAAAGAGAATATAGAGAATGGCATCGTATCGTTACGTATCCTTTTTCAAATATGCAAGAATTATTTGATTACAGATACAGCTTTTGCCGACTTTGTTGATCACCCGCAAGCAAAGAAAATAAACGGCATCACGTTAGCAGCGATATCTTTTCTCTCGTCGACGGAAATGGAAATTGATAAGTCTCTGAGAAATGTATTACAGCGATTGAAGCTATCGTTAGAAAGGCTATAAAATATTTTCACAAAGGCATTTATGAATTAATTTACGAGGATGTTATTTTATTGTTGTTCTGTTTATTTTCCCTCGTCTGCATCTCGTTTTTGGATACCGACCTAATTTCTTTTTTTGCTTCCCCGTATTTAGTATCAAAAAACAAAGCCACTGACGATTGATTTTTTAAATATTTTTTATCGTCGTTCCTATCGCTAATTTTCTCGACACGATCTTGTAATCCGTTATTTTGTGCTTGATTATCTACGGTGATAAAATGACCATTAGTAACAGTTTCCTGCAAATCAGGTCCGAAAACTTTATCCAATTGCTGAGCCTGTGGCGGACCTTGAAGTTGTATAGCATTATTCTCCGGCTGTTCTATAGCGGCTAATATATCTTGAAGGAGGCCATTGGATAACACTTGATCATGTCTGATGCTGCCATCCGAATTCTCAGTGCCCAGTCCTCCGTCAGCTGGTTGTATCTGTAATCTGTAAGTGCCTTTGGAACCATGAATTTCAAAGCCGTCGGCATTGTCAGCGGTCAGTCTCTGGGCCAGAGACAATGCCTCACTACCCTCGCTCGATTTTAGAAATTGACTAGCGTCCACTTCATTTAATTCATTATTCTTTTCTTGGCTGAAACCTTGGGCGGTCAAACTTGCTGTTAGCGCTTCAGCCGATATTCCCGAGCCGTGTTCGAACGATGTTACCGCGGGGTAGGTATTGCGAGACTGACTAGACAAATGCGCGGATAGCTCGTTCGAAATATCTGTGGCGGATGCGTGAACAGTTCTGGAATCACTCGCTTCGTTGGACGAATCGTAAGTTAGTCCTATAGGATTGCCGTAGCTATCCTTTAGATTGGTCTTCTGTTGTTCGTCATGTTGTAAGTCCAATGTGTTTACCGGAGGCCCTCCTAGAAAATTATCGAGTGGTTTCGTAAGCGGCAGTGCGTTATCCGCAAAAATAGAATTTTGATGATTGACCTCGGGTAAATCGCTTCCCGTAAAAATTGGATTGGGATTGTTTCCAGCGGAAGCTCCTGAATTTTCGAAACCGAGTTGCAACTTGCTGCTAGAATGCGTGGGTAATCCACCACCTAACTCCTGGCTCAAGGGCACTCCAGCACCTGAGGATAAGCCTCCACTCAAGTGTAGCCCTCCGCTGGAATGCAATTCTCCGCCTGAAGGTAAATTACCGCTTAAAGGTAGCTCTCCGGTCGCGGATAGTCCTCTACTTGAATGCAACGCCCCGTTCACGGGCAAGAGTGGCTGCAAGGAATTGCAGTCATAGTTGCTGCCGATTGATAATGGCGCGTTTATTACAGGTGTGCCGTATGTTGTTGTTAGTGCGTTGCTAATTCCACTATAGAGATTACTACCAAATCCGGAGGTAATGAAAGAAGTCGGTGGGCCAAAGTTAGGTGCTCCATAAGTTAAATGTGGTGCCGGTGTATTAAAATCGGTAAACGACAATGGCGTTCCATATTGAACGTGAGGCGCGGCAATTGGTGAATTTAAATTGTGAACGTTAAGCGAACTAGATGACGCGAAAGAACCCGAAAATAAATTGCTCGATCCCGAGGTATGGCGAAAAGATACTGGCACATGAAGATTTGGTAACTGTTGTTTTGTAGGTGGCGACAGATATCGATTAATATTTGATAAAAGTCCCGTTGGTATTGGTTCTCTGAATTTAATCGGTTCTCGATTTCGTGGTGGTATTAAAGAGCCAAGAGGAATTGGTGGTGGTTTAAATGGACCATGAAATCGATGAGAATGCAAATTCTGTTTGTGAAAAGAGTTTCCAAATATTCCAAATGATGAAAATACTGGACTTCGTCCTCCATGCGCCACAGAATAAGCTCCATTAGATGAATAAGAGGAAAAAGATGGTGCACCATAAGAATTTAAAGGTGGAGGAGCAAGTAAAGATGCTCCTGATATGTGGTCAACAGGTTTTCCAAAAGTAGTAATAGTTAAAGGCAAACCATAATCGCTCGACGGCGTTTGCTGTGGTAATTGCTGTAAGGACAAATTGTTTCTTATATTTTGAAGTCCGTGAGAATTCCCGCCATTGCTTAGAACATCTGTATGAGAACCACCATTGTCCGATGTCAATTCTAATCCCGAATGAAGTGGAGCGGAATTGGTATTAATCGAATTCGAGATATGATTGAATGATGAAACATCAGAAGTACCACCTGACAGTGATAAACCTGAGAAATCCGCGTTCAAAGCGTCAGTTGTAGGTAACAGTTCAAATCCTACTGTCTTTATGATGGATAAGGGTTCAACGTTTGGCGTTCCATATTGCAAGTTTAATTGTTGTCGACCAAACTGGTGATCAGATTGACTCGTCGTAGAGATGACGCCTGGACCTTGATTGTTGTGCAAGGGTTCGCTCTGTGGTAACGGCGGTGGCGGTAATCCATTACTCTCCGAAGAAGCCGAGGACTCGTGCACGGATGTCTTCAAATCTTGATCATCAGGATTTTGCAACGGCACACCATAAGAATCACTAGGCACATTCGAATCCATTGAAATGCTTAATGAAGCGTGAGACAATTGCGATCCCGACGAACTTTCGACGTAATTATGTTTTGCATCGAGGGGAGGACCGTATGTATCTGTCGGAGGACCACTTTGATTAGGGGTGGTGGCCAATCCCGCGATGGGCTGCCATCCATCGTACTTTATGTCAGGAGGTGTGGGTGGCGCTGGAACTCCTGGTGGAGGTGCCGGCGGTGGAGGTCCGTATAAATCACCAGCTGGTGGACCGTATTGCGGTTGCGGCGCAGATACGGGCGGCGGCGGTGGACCGTACTCGTCATTGGACAGAGGATTAAACTGAACAGCTAATTTCGGAGGTGGTGGGCCGTAAGTCTCGAGCGATATAGGGATAGGTGGTCCGTGACCTGGCTTAGGCGGTATATATTGCTGACTCGATGTACCGACAAGCTTTAATGGCGGACCATACTGAGGTTTCAGTGATCTGAACGGCGGGAACGAAACCAACGGTGGCGTAAAATGTTGTTTCGGTAGCCCGTAATAAAGTTTTGGCGGGCCATAAGTAGGTTTAGAAAGCAAGGAAGACGTTGCCAAACCGAAACTTTGTTTTGGCGGTCCATATTGCGGTTTGATACTTTGTGGTGGTCCGTAAGAGACTGCCAACGATCCAAATACAGGTGGCGGCAATTCCGGTGGTGGCGGTGGATAAATAGGCGTTGGTCCGTGATTGCCGACTAATTCCGGAGGCCCATATACTGGCGCTGGTCCTTTAAAACCAGATCCCAACGGTGGCCCATACTCGTCAGATGGAGAATCGAAAGTATTACTTATTCTGTCATCGGCTTTGGCCTTGGATTTCTTTTCTTCCTTGGTTAACGGTACTTGCGAGGTCGCCTTGTTGACTACCGCTTGTACATGATGTCCAATTAACAGAACGCAGAACAGTGCAAATAGCATCTAAAAGCAGAACAAGATGACTAGAATCGGAGAAAGTGATTTCATCGGCATCGCGATTAATTTTATTTCTTCATTTTCCACACTAATCATTACGTCTATCATTATACTGAAAATAAACTTGGATAATTTCAACTTATGTAAAAATAATAACACATTGCGCTCAAGATCTCAGAAGATTTAACTGCAGCAAAAACATTATCATTTCGTAATAAAACTGTGAAAAATGCGTGAAATATAATTTCGTACATTTTACTTTTTCAGTTAATTTACATCAATTTATGTGATTTCATTTTGTATTTATATAAATATAAAGCATACTATAAATATGTTAATTAAATGTTATGTACCTGTTAATTAAATAGTAATTATTGATTTTATATGAGAACATATATATTGTTATTAAAAAAATTAACAATTACAACTATTATAAAGTATCTTTATTAAATTAATTATGTATATATATATATAATGTTTGTATCTTTGCTTTTTATTTTCTCAGATAATAAAATATGTATAGAATACAATTAAGCATTATACTACAAGATTATTATCTATTCTATTGTATAAATGTTAGTATCAAAAATAAAAGGAAAATCATTAAATCTTGTATCCACTCAAGCATCTAAAATGCTATACGAGCGTTCTAATTAGTTCGTTAGATGCTTAAGAATAGTTTCGCAGAACATATGGAGATCACCCATACTCCTATTGTGTAGCAGCCATATTGGAGGCCGTGAGAACTTCTGTGTTATTCGCTTAAGCCCGGGAAGTCACCTCAACGTATGTGAAAATTATGTAAAGCCACGTTTACACATTCTGGGCATTAGAGAAGCGTGCACGTGAGTGAATAATTACATCAATTGTAGCGGAGTAGCGAGTGTTGCATGAAGACGAATTATGAAAAATTTATTTAGAGATGCTAACTCTTTATCTGCTTTCATTATTAAACGCAGCAATTTTCAAAACAAAAATATATATTTTGTTATCTTAAAAAGATTTGACTTTAATAAAATATGTAATCATATGTATTTCATAAAAAGAATATTCTACCGAAAACTACCTTAATCAATCATAATTGTTAAAATGACTTACTAAGTCTTTTTTCATGATATAAAAAACTATAAAAATTTCATAGAAGATTCAAAATTTGTGTGTAATTCTTCATCATTCTGTAAAAGAAATTATTATCTATGCTTCTTTTAATTACATTATCTACAATAACAGACATTGAATTATTGTTGTATTAATAAATAATATCAGTATCTGTAATTAAATTTCAAAAAATATTTTTATTGCAGTACAGAAAAAATGAATCAATCAAATATCAATCAAATAATGTAATAAATTTATTTTATAAACTTTCTTATTAAAAGAAGCAATTCCTACAACTACAATTTATGCAATGATCACATAGTAACATTTTATTTTAGCGACATTATGACAATCTATATATAAAATTCTCTCTAGATTTTCTACGGTAATTAAGTATAATAATAGCATTTTTATGTTTCTTCTAGAAAATATTGGATCATTGAGAAGAAGCGGTGAGAACGTATAAGCTCACCGTCTGTCAATGCCGGTAAGAAACTATTGGCTTCTCTTAAGTGGCACGATGGCCGAGATGCAAGGCTAACATAATCAACCATACTTTCTCCAAAGACCACGGGAAATGTTTGCAACCCGGCAACGTATCGCAATGATTGCAATTTCAAATAATTGCATTTCCAAAGATTTTCTTATAATTTTTTTTGTAACGTTTTATAATTTATTTTTATAATGTATATTTTTTTCAAAAATTAATGTAAGGCTTGAAGCTTAAAAATTAATAGCTAAAAAAAAGTATGAACAAATTAAAATATTATATATACAATATTATACATATATTTTTTATATACTTGTTACTTTATAACATTATTATAAATTTTTTGTTATTTGTAACTTACATGTAACATTTATCAATTTGTCAAAAAGATCTTTGATTACTAAACGCGAGTCTTGAAATACTTGATCACGTAATAATTTTAAGTATGCAAATTTAATTAACAGTTATGAAATAATTATGTTAACAATCAATGAAACTTTTCACTTTTGGCAATTTAATCTACAATCATTAAAATAAATCATAACAATATTGATGACTTAGTCAACAAAGTATACAATTTACTATACAGCATACATGCGATTCATCAATGAATCAGGTCAACAAAAGAAAGTTTCAATCATCAAGATATGTTTGTTTGAAGTATATTTTCATATTGCTTAAATTATGTATTATTTTCTAAATTATAAGCACATATTATATGCAAAATTTTTAAATCAATCTTTATATGAAATGCAATAATAAATAATGTAATTTTGATTCAAAAACTTTACTCGTTATATTATTATATTTTATTCCTTTTATGAATCATATTTTTATTGGACGCTTGATACAACAAGTCGATAACATGTTCTGTACAACATACGATATTTGTGAGAATAAATCGCATCTGAATCTAAATTATAATTTAAAATATCTACACGATTACACGTATTGGATTACATACACTTAATGAATTAAAAATGCTGTCTTTTTCATATAAATTTGACATTTTTATCGTTTTCTTTCGTGGCTGCAAGCAATCACTTTTATACTTGTATTACTTTTACGTATATATACTTTTTTTACTACCCGTATGGAAATGCGTATATCTCACGCGGACTCTCATTTTCATACATTTGCGATACATGCAGGTGCAATAACCTATATTTCTTAGCTGGCATACAATCGTCATCTATTAAATTATTCATAATTTAATTTTTACATTTTTTTATGTGTAGTATATGCAAAAATATTTCGAATATTCGAAGCAGAAAGACTAATTTGCTCAACAAAAAATGAATTTGATTAGTAATTTAGATTAATTCTATCAGAAATCACCGATAAGAAACCATCAATTACTTAATTTCTAGCTAGAAATCGTCGCAAGTACAATTATCGATAATGTGGCCTAAGACCGTGCGTTCCTTTTATAATACATGCGCCCCTCCCCTTATTAGTACGGAAATTTATTCACATCGAGGGTGTAACGTTATTTCAGTCAGAGATTTTTGCACACTAAAATGTGTTCTTTCCTTTCTTTCACTTTTAGATAAGACTAAAATATAACGCAGTACGTACTTTATAAGCTGATCAATCAAAATACGGAAATTCATAACGTCTATTTTAAACACAAATAATATACGCGAATAATATATGTGAATAATTAAAGTCAAAAAATCTTGAATAATTTTAATCATAAAATATTTTCTCAAATTATATTAAACATTTAATAAAATTTAATAAAAATTTTTAATTTAATAAAAATTTAATAAAAATTTTTATAAAATTAACAAAAAATTTTTAATTTAACAAAAATTAATTTTGACAAAAATTGTTAAATAATAAGGAATTACAAATAATTATTTAATAATAAGGAATTACAAATTATTTAAATATTTTTTAATTTTTGTATGGTTATAATAACATTTATGATTTTATTTGACAAGTTATAGTTAAAATAATTTCTTACAAAATAAAATAAAATATATTAACAAGCAAATATAAATAAAACAATAATAAATTGATAATTGATAGATTAATATATATTAAATAATATTTATTTAAATAATTTTGTATAAAAAAGTATTATAAATAAAAAATATTATAAAATATATATATATTAAATTTATTTTAACTACTCTATAATAAAGCATAATGTAATAAAGAAAATTATTAGAAAAATCGTTAAAATTATGCCCAAAAGAAGAAATATGCATTTTATTAATAAAAATTAGAGCATATATATTAATTATTTTTTTTGAGAAAATTTATTATTCACATAATTGATCTATAAGCACTGCATGTTATCTGTTTTTAGATTAACATATATTATATTGTGGAAACAACAATCTATTTTAAATAAGCAATTTAAATAAAACTGAAAAATGTACAGAAATAAATTAATGAAAAACATTTATTATAACATTTTTAAAATTTGGCTTTCTGATTTTCCAAAAGAGATGGCGCATCTTAATGATGTTATGGTGCGTTGTTATAAAGCAAAATCGGAAGTAATAAACAAATTACTAATAAAAAATTATTATGTCTTCAGACACTTTAGACACATTAGACACTTTATAGTTAGATGTATAGATGTAATTATATTGATCACATTTACATTAATTTCTAAGGAAATTAATGTAATAACTAAACTAAGCGCGATGCAATTCAGGCTAGCTGCGACCTACCTTGAATTTAACCATGACACACGCGCGTAAACCGCAATCTCGGCACACAAATTATCCGACACTACGTAGATCTCCTTGCTCTTGAAGCTTTCCCTCTGCTTTTCGTCACCGCACTTTGAAGGAAGTCGCTCCAAACCGAAGCTTGTCGTATACGATTTAACTGTGGCTTTTCGTATTACGCGTCGCACACACCATACTGGCATTCATTGGCTCGCAGCTTCTTTGACAGGCGAGCACCACGACTCGCCAGTGTTAACACAAAAAATGTTCGGTCTCGTATGAAGACTCCGTTTATATAGACTCTGAGAGGACTACCAGTCGGAGGAGTTGTCGACTGAAGTTGCCGGGTGAATCGTGGAAAGGAGACCCGGGAAGAGGAGAGAGAGTGAGTGTGCCTAAGGGTACGGAGAGAAGAGAGAGGAATAAAGAAAGAGAGAGAAAGAGCGCGCGCGTACAGAGAGATGATGCGGGGAAGAGCGCGAGAAGAGTCAGCCCTCCTCATACGTTGTTTAAAAATTCTCTTTGTAGAGAAAGTAGGCTAGCCTTGCCTCTGTCGCGCCGAACAAGTCAAAGATGCGCTGCCGCATGTATATCCTCCGATCCCCGGCGACTACATACGTCCGCTGCGCGAAACCGGTTGTAAATCCTTCCGCGGCAACACAAAGTTCGGAAGGATTGGTCAATCGACTACTCCATCTTAAGCTCACATCCAACAATAAAAAAATGCGAATTAACGGCTGTGTATCTGCTTACACGGCGAAGATCTAAAGTAAGACCAGTAAAATCACGGTTTGCATAAAAATGCAAGTGAAATTTATGGTAAACCGTTCGTTTTACATTTTATGACTGTGATTCGGCACTTGATTCGGCAAGTTTAGTTAACGTTGACCAATAATTTCACTGACAAACATGTACATGCGCCACTTGAGATTCATTATAAATTTTTTTTTTGTTGGAGGTATTTGCCGGCGCTTGTTTTAAAAATTGATCAAGAACCAGTAATATATGCTTGTTGAGCATCTCGAAGGAGGTACGTCATGAATGTTGCATGCATGCATGAGAAATCTTATGCAACGTGATGTAATAATTGTAAATTCATGTATCCTTCAATCGTACTGATTAATTATCGCAACATGATTGGAACATGTAGCAATTTTAATGGAATACATTGTACTTTATTGAATAAAACCTATTTTTCATCAGAAACATTATAATTATTATATATATTTTCACGAAGTGAAAATATCATAATTATTACGTATATTTTCACGAGGTTAGTAAATGAAGGAGAATGATTATTAAGTAATTACACGCTTAAAAGTGGAATGGGTTTGTCGATAATAAAACAAAGTAAAATAAATAGAGATAATCGTTACAGCAGCAATTGATGTTTTGTTATTTATGGCAAATTTAATTTTTTGTTCAATTGTTTAGCTGCACTATAATGTTTATATAATTATAATTGTAATTAGAGATTTTAGAAAGCTTTTAGAAAGATTTTAGAATCTTAGAAAGTTTGTTAGAAAAAAAAGCTATTTAAATGTTTTTTTAAATATTAAAGATTATCTAGATTAATTAAGTATTTTACTCGATACATAAAGATATTTAAAGAAGACAAATTGGTTATTTTGTAATCAACCTTCGATCATTCGTACAAATCTCGGTCACTGTCAAGAACAAGTGTGAAATTAATGAATAAATTATACAGTCTTGATAAAGTGCCTATGCAATTCTGTATAATAAAGAAATAAATATGAATAAAATGAATTATCAAAAATGTTAATATCAAAATAATCAAAATAATTTATTTTATATAAATAATTATTATATTAAATAAAAAAAAACAATTGAAATTATTATTGTAGTATACTATAAATTATACAATGTTGATTCGAATATTATTTAACGTTAAGATATTGTATAATTTATTTATATTTTATAAAAATTAAGCATTATAACAATTATTTTGATTCAAATAAATTAAAAAAAAATCGAATCAACTAACTCATCTTTGTATATAATTTTACATAACACTTTATGTCAAATACCATTAAATCTTTTCTAAGCTTTTAATCATGCTCAAAATCTTCTAAAATAAGATAAAAAGACAGGAAACAGCAGTTTCCATACGCGCGTGCATACCGGATGCACACTGACATATATATACATATACATGTATATACATATATAGGTACATGCTCGAGCCCATTGAGATCCATTATGTTGTCATCAATAATTCAGCGAAAAAGTGCCACCCCTCATGGTCTGGCTTTGCTGTCGACAGTACCATCTATCGCTGACGCTGTTATTGCCGCAAAAACCTCGGAATAACGAGACCCGTAAACAAAATTGTTTCGTCGAAAAGTCTGTGCGGTATACAGAAGCGGCAAAGGTAACTAGTTGCGGTACATGCTAGAATTAATTGTCCAACAACACCATCGGAATTTTTTCCAGCTCCTCTTTATTCACCGATCTCTGCGGGTTGAGTTTCCACCATATCGTTAAAACGACCAGTGTATTGTCATCATAGGAATTTCTCAAAAGTTTTGCACATATTTTTTACACACATTATATTAATATTAATTTATACCAAATATATATATATATATATTAATAATATTGTATCGTACTATACAGAATATACATATTGTATTACATATTGTATT